TTGAAATCACGACTAGAGGGATCTAGAGGGCTTCATATCCTGCACCCTAGACCCTCATCCCCTGCTTAAAGCCTGCTTCCTATCTATATAACCATACATGTCTATATCCCAAATCCCAAACCCTAATCCATTAACCCTACACCCCGCCATAAGGGTGAGGGCATTACCCAAGCTAAGCTCACAACGCAGCTCATCCCCCCGAGCACGCGCCTGACTTTACCCCATCAAGCGCATGCAGATGGAAGGGGCTCTGGAAAAGCAGAGCTATCATCTAAACTCCTAGTATCCCCTTAACTGACCCCTATGATACTCCCCTAAAAAAAGCCCTTTTAAGGAGGTTAGACTACGGCGCACATAGGGCTTTAAAGATCAGGTGTCAGAGGCTTTTTGGAGTTAAGGATTGTGATTTAGGGCTTCGGTGTTTCTCAAAACACTTTGGGACTGCGACGGGATTCGGGGGGCTCCCCATGAAGGATCTACTTGGGCAAGTATGCGATATCCCCGTACCAGGGTCGTGATGGAAATAACCCTCGAGTCCGAGTAGCCTTCGAGTATATGATGACTAGATTCACTGATAGTGGTAGAGCAGAAGCCGAGTTGAATTGTGGTCATTCGCTTAACAGCAGCCGCAGCAGCAGCAGCAGCAGCAGCAGCAGCAGCAGCACGAGGAAAATGCAAGTCTATGTTTAGGATTCATCTCGACATTCGCAACGCTTCTGTGCTTGCCACAATCGCAATGACAACGGCTGTGGGGTGCCATGAAGGTCTTATTCACTCGGGGGCTGCCAAGCGCTACGGGCCAGCAGCCAGCACTCATTCTGTCAACCGTTCTAAGCTTTCAAGCAGCATAGGACATACCCTGTTCGCAAAGATTACAACGGCATCAAACCCAAACAATCCCAGCAAAGGCAGCTCAGCTAACACGGCCCTCCCCCCCTTTAAAACAGCAGAGCCCTCAAACTTCAATCACCTTCCTGCTTTCGTGGCTTTCTGCTCCCAAACCTCTGCAAGCTGCTGTTGAAGCTGCAGAGCCTGTACAGGGCTATGTTTTGAGAGTCTTGAGGTAACCTAGGTCTCAGGGTTTGAAGGGCTGGGCTTGTTAGGCTTGTGACATTTAAGGGTTCGAGGATGGTATGATTTTAGGTTCAGCATTGTGAGCTTGATTTATCTAAGTCGACGGTATCAAATCCGAAGCTGGACAAGCATACAGCAGGGTTCTCGCTCATGAAGATTGGAATCTGGCAGGTGTTTTCGGCGTTGTGTGTCCACATCCAAGAAAAAGCGTGACCTCTCCAAAAAACGACACAGCCCTAGATGGCGTTTTCTCGACCCTTCGCAACTACACATCAGATGACCTCAACACGACGAGAAATGAGTGAACGACCTGAACCCGGATGCCGTCCCAACAAGCGCCAGGCTCAACCATGCCCTGAACACGACTTTATAGGACTTTACTCAACGCTCTCCATGCACATCAACATCACAGCCTGCCTTTGCAAACCCGCACATCAACAATCGCATGTGTCATGTACCCTCGTCTGTGTCTAGGGCGAGAACCATTGGCCACTAGCCATACGAATCCCCCGCAGTTCACTCGCAAGAGCGCAAGCCTTTCAGGACCCTAAACCTATGCCCGAGAAGCGGTTGCTACAAACACCTGGATCACAGTCTAAACTGTCTGCCCGCCCCGGGGCAAGAAAAAATCCTACATCTTGCGCCTCGGACTCCTGTTCCGTACGAAGTGCCTCGAGCTGCAACGAGAGTTCCTCCCGTAGCCTCCAACAGAGTGGTGAGACACAAGAAACGCGCTTACAAAGACAGAATTTGTCGGAGTCGCAGATGAAGGTGCTTGCCGGGTGTGAGTAGCAAATCCACTTCAAAGTGGCAAATTGAGCCGGCAGGTCTGCAGTTAGTGGTCTGTTAGCACTTGTTGCGCCATGGCATTGGGTTCTGGTAGTTCTCGCGCTTACGCGGCGAGATACTACGGTGTTGCAGGGGGCATGCAGCTTCCGACTGATGGACCTGGTCAATGCTTTCTCGACATGGTATGATTGCACGGATGCCTGACGTAAGCTTCCCACGTTATAGTGGGACCTCCAGCATGAAGGAACAGTCTGTGAGATCCGGCCTCTGCTCTGAAGCCTCCGATGCTTCGCGCAGCGTTTGTAGCTGCGTCTTTGCCTGTCGGAGCTTCTGGTAATGGAGCTTGGCAAACTGGCTGCTAGTACCTAATCCCTAAACCCTGAATCCCTGGACGGCAAGTCCTGTACGGGTTCTGGGTCTATGCTTTAAGATCTAGTTGCTGCATCAATGGCCTCCCTTTGCCAACTGCATCCCCCAAGTACAACCTTCCAGCTACATATGAGTACAGTAGTACAGTCCCCCGAAAAAGTAGATAGAATATGGGGTATATAACTACCTTTCTTGACCTCAATCAAACTCAGGATGCCCTCTACATTACTTTGGCAAACTCCTGCAGGAAGCCCGCGCTCTCCCAAACCCTAAACCCCAAAGGCCCGAACCCTAAAGCCACAACCCTCGTGGCTCCCATGTCAAGAGGTCGTAAAGTTCGAAACACGTCCTGGTGAGCTCGTCGCCACCTTCATCAGAGAAGCAGCACTCAACACCTGCTAGAGCCGCTTCGCGCATGCGTGTGAGGCTCAGACAGCCTTGGTGCCACCTGCAATCTTGCATCATCATCATCATCAGCTGATTGCAAAAGCCAGATTGGCCCACCATAGCCACATTGCCAGCTCGCTCGCAGGGCAGTTTGTTGGAGCCTAGACCCACGGCGAAAACACTTTGCGCTTCGCACAATCAAAGCCCAAGTTGACATCCGCTGCAGCGAGCGCTGTTCTGACGCAGCCTTTCACACAGAGCTTTCTTATTACAGTAACTCTAAGCCTTAACCCCTATATGCCCTAAACCCCGTATAACCCATACTCCTTAACAGTATCGGGCGCTAGCCGTATTACCTGGTTCAAACTTCAGCCGTCCCAACCTGCAGGGTTAAGTTTAGAGTTTAGTGTTTAGAAAACTCTAAGCCCTAAAACCGATCCAGCGGGCTGCCCTGTCCTACCTCTGGCTAGGAGGAGGAGGAGTAGTAGTAGTAGTAGTAGTAGCAGTGGTAGTAGTAGTAGTAGTTGTAGTAGTAGTAGTAGTAGGAGGAGGAGGAGGAATAATAGTAGAAGCAGTAGTAGTAGTAGTAGTAGTAGTACGTACGTACGTAGTAGCAGTAGTAGCAGTAGTAGCAGCAGCAGTAGTGGTAGGAGGAATAGTAGAGGTATTAGTAATAACAGTAGGCGTGTTGTAGGAGTAGTAGTCGTAATTATAGTAGAAGAAGAAGGAGTAGCAGCAGCAGCAGCGACACGTGACAGTACCAGACCTCAAGTTTTGGATATTACCTGGGACAACCGCCACCTCTAGCGCAGAGTCCCTACCGCCACCGGCCTCGTCTAGGAGGCCGTCTTTCAGCTTCAGCTCCTGCAAATGCAGGGTTCAATCGGAGCTAGTATATAGGGTATATATTGGGGTTATATACCGACAAAGGAAACGAAAATGGAAACCACTATAGTAGACTATAGTGGGTTATACGGAGTATATATTGGGGTTACATAGGGATAATGGAAAAGAAAATGGAAACCACTATATTATGTAGGCAATGTAGGGTATATATTGGGGTAGGATTCCTTCCCTACTACGAAAAAATTCTGGGCTTATCACTGGGTTGCAGGTTCGTTGGATTGTCAGGTGATTCCCGTAGGGTTTAGGGTTAGGGCAGCTGGCATGATGATCGCAATTAAGCCTCATCCAAACCCAAAACCAACTTTGATCAATCTTGTGATCTAAATCTCTACCAATCCGAACGACTGGGGGTCCATGTTTATAGATCTTGGGGCTTTGAATCTGGTATTGCTGCACTCTTCAGCGTTGCCTTCATGAGAAATGATGTTACTGCATCTATACACACGGTCCCTGCAGTCCCCAACAAAATGTGGAGAGTAATTGCGAAACACACTTGCCTCATGAACACTTGAATTCTGTTGGAGACCCTTGCAGCACCCTACTCTCAGCCCTGACCGAAATCAGAAACAGATCTCGACCCCCTGAAAAAAAGTCACCACCCTCCACCCTAAAACCCGAAATATACACACTCAGATTGAGATGTCTTCACCCAACGATTCCTGGGTCCGGCTCTCGAGGTCTGCCTCCAGGCCCAGCGTGCGCTGCTCCGCCTTGCAAATGTTCATCTTGATTTTCAAGAATGAACTTTGGATGTGTGTACATTAAAGCTGTCTACGCATGTACGCACACATATTCATGACTTCTCTCTGCTTTTCGACAAGCACAGTGCGAAAGAGTTGCCATAATATGACACGACTAGAAGTCATAGACATAAGACACTAACTCCCTCGCATCGGACTGAAGCAGCATGATTTGGATCATTCCGCGTGAGATGGCGACTTGCTGGTGCAGCCTCCAGAGAAATCCAGGACTTCGGTTGGAATCGTGGAATGATGGCACCGCTTCGAACAAGGCATCGCTTGCTCTTAAATACTGTTGGCAAAGGCGTAGGGCCTAGATCTGTTCTTGCTGAAAGTCCCTAATTCAAAAGGGGCGATCTGCAAGACAATGAATTGCAAGAGCTAAAGCCACTGCGTTAGAGCAGCACAAAACTGTGACCACTTATGGGTGTTTGGGGCAGCTGACCAAAGAAGAAGCATAGGCTCCCCCACTTGCTGCCCCTGTCCCGGCAAGATCTACCCAACCAAGCGTTTCCAAAGGTTCCCTCATATGCCTGCTTGAAGAATCCATCTTGAGGCAATCGAGCCCAGGAGGGGTGCCACAACTTTCAGAAACGCCTGTGCTGGCAAGATAGCTATGTCTCAAGAAGTCCATTTCCCCATGCGCCCCCAAACTTGGCGAGCCTTGTTGTAAGGACTCGCAAACAGGGACCTCTAGACTGAGACATCCTAAGTCCTAGAGCTGACAGTCGGTCTTCACGCAGCGTCTCCCGCTACCGCATTGGCCGCAGGCTTCCGGATGCCGAAGAAGCGCTCAACATTGAAGATGTGGGACGTCGGCGCCTCATCAAAGCAGAGCAACAGTGTTTTCAGAATGGGTCTCAAAGAGCAGCAGCAGCAGCAGAAGAAGAAGAATCCACCACATTAAACCAGCACGACTACTGAGAGAAGGATGAATGGTAGAAGAAATGGCAGGAGCATCTGCAGGAGCAGCGGTAGTAGCAGATAGTTGCAGCATGTAGCAGCAGAAGCAGCTGCTGTACCTGAGAGATGAAATTTAATATCCTGTGTTTCAGCAGGAATGAGAAAAAAAGTGGCCTCCGATGTGGTTTCACTTGCGTAGTACTCAGAGAACATCTGCTTGAAGTCATTGATATTCTCACGTCCGGTCTTCTGGAGTCGGCTGGGCGGCGATCCTGTGATCCAGAGGTAGACAGCCTCGGGCCAGGAGAGTTGCAAAGCCCGCTTGGCAATGAAGGGGTTCAGCGGGCCAAGCCCTGAGACGAAGGCGAAGACAGACATGGCCAGCAATGCGGCAACAAACTGACCTCCAATGTAGAGGCCAGTCACATCCTTGCCGCATTGAAAGACAGCCCTGGGGCCTAGGACCCGAGCAGGGTTCAGGGCGGCACCTGTGTACTGGCCACCGGAGCCCGCAGAGGCGAGAAGAGCAAGGCCCACAGCAAAGGGAGTGTGGCTGCCGTGGCCTGGCTTGGCCACACCACAAGCATAGACGCAAGAAATGAGGGTAAAGGTCATGACGCACTCCCAGCCGAAGACCTGGCCGTCCGTGACGTCTTTGATCACACTGCGGTCAAAGCAGCCTGGGCCTGTGGCCCCTGTGCCAATGAGGCTGCTAGCTCCAGGCACCAGCCCAGCTGTGACCCAGGCACCAACAATGGCTCCAATGATCTGGAGGGCAATGTAGATCACCGTGTGGATAACGGGGTAGAAGCCGCAAACAGCTGTGCTGAAGCTCACCGCAGGATTCAGGTGACCTCCGCTGATGTTGGCAGCCACGTAGATCCACACGGCCAAGGCGAAACCATTCACATATGGTGCGTACTCTGGAGCAGAAGTGCCCCCCAGTATCTGGAAGAACATCACGCCTACAAACTCCACCGCCAAGGACACCGCAAACTGGCGCGAAAACACCGACTTGTAGTTCGCGAAGACGCTGTCCTTGTCCACGGTGTCACTCATGGCTGGATGCTGAAGGGGCTCTCGGTGTCAACGGAGTGGCCTTCCAATCTGAACTACTTGCCGTCATTGAGCCATGGCAATGTGGCATGCCAACATCATGCAGACTGCCATGAGCATGACATGCTCAGACTTGTCTGTCCCATCATCCCTTTGTGTGCAAGCGCCGCTCCAACATGAAGCCTACAGGGCCTACATCACAAACCGCGCAGACTTCCAGGCTCAGTCCCTACAAGGCCTCCTCCGACTCCTTGTGGAGTGTGTCGCGAAGCTGGCGCGCCTGACTTCACTCCGGCAAGGGGAGGATCCTGTGAGACTGAATCTGGGCCGGCCTTAACTGAGAAGCCCAGCCTTGTTGGGATCCCAACTCTAGCCGTGTCGACAAGTTCTGCAAAAACACTCCAGTCTTGCATCCCACATCGTGGGATGTTGCTGCACAAGCCCTACATAAGAATACTAGGCCTGACAGTGCGACCTCCTGATAAACGAACTATATCTACCCGTCTAGTACGACCACCTCCATCACCGCCATCTGCAATTGCAAGCACAAATATCTAAAGTCGGACATACAAGTAGCACCGAATCAGTGGTCAACCCGAAGTTGCTGCCTAACCGTCTCAGGAGCCCAGGCCCCGATAGCCTCGGCCATAGCGACATCGAGAGCCTCCTGCACCTTTCGGCGCTCCTGAAGGACTTCGGGCTCTCAGCGTCATTTCCGCACACATTTTGCTAGTTAGAGGCCTTGCAGGTGGCGTAAACTATGAGACCGGCGTCGATAAAAATGGTGGGATCACGCTGGTAAGATGGATGATCACAATCTGCATCATGAATGCTTCTGAGCTTGAGGAAGCGCCTCATACAGCAGGAGCTAGCTACAAGTAGTAAATCGCAACCTCGCAACCATCCTACAGTGCACCGTGCTAGGCGGGCATGCATCCAGACAGAGGCCATCTTTTCTCGCTTTATGATCCGGATATCTATCATGACGACCTCGCGAGTAAGTCCGGGTTCTGAGAGACCCCACATGTATGTTGACAGTAGCTTCTACAAAGCGATTCCGGCCTTGCTACAGCGGTCCTGCAAGCCTGCTCTGGGAGTCATGGCCCTGAGACAACGTATATGACACATGCATCTCTCTGCTTAGAAGGGGAGATTCTCCACCCTAACCGGCTGCCCTTGGCCATGCCCGTCCTGCTCAGCGACCTTCGCCAGGTTGGAGCTGCTTTGCTGCTCCTCTTCCGGGCACGTGAAAGCAGGTCTGAAGGCGTTGGGTAGATTCGTCCGGCTCCCTGCAAGATGCCCCGAGATGTGTTTGAAGATCCCTCCTGATGATTGGCTTTGTACAATGTCAAGCCCAGCAACATCCCGGTCACCGCCCATGAATTGGCAAGCCCTGCTTCTCAAGCTTCGGAGAGCCTAGTGACAGAACACTATCCTACCAGGAGCTCCACAAATAGGTCTTTGACGCTCCTCTGGAAGAACCAGAACCTTCATGTGCCAACAGAAGTTTCTGGATACCAGGCCTAGACAAATGCGGTCGACACTACAACACACTGCAAGGAGGGTTTGGGCTCGGACCTGAAATAAGCTGATTGCGATACACAAGCTACGGTAATTAAGCGAGGCGTAGAAGTGTCAAACGTTCTCTATGCACTTGAGTGCATGTTCGTGCATGTCGTGTCCTCGGCACGCACACTCTGGGCTACCTGGCTCTCAGAGCTCACGGAGAAAATAACATGCAGACCCAAGCTGTCTGGATCGTGTTTGGCAGCAGCCCTGGTACTTCCAAGTGAGTGGAGTCACACACTGAGTCTGCTCGCGGGTCAAAATGCATTGGGCATCGAGGCTTGGCAAAAAGATCCTCAGCATTAGACTCAAAAACTCATGAACCATAAGCTATGTATGTCGGACTGATCGCTTCCCTCTAACCAGAAGCGGAAAACATAGCCGGACACGCCGTTTCGACCTTCTTCTCTGCCGCTGCAGCTCGTTCTGGAGCAAGTTAGAGAGAGGAACAGCTGCACTTATGATACTGGGCTCGTTGAATTTCAGCATCGGAGACTGTGAGAGCAACAGCAGCTAAATGGGTCAGCGGAAAGCATGAGCAACGCATGGTGTTGGCAGCATGCCCTTTCTGTGCTTGCTTGCGGAAGGCCTAGGCGAAAGGTTGAACACATGCATCAGAGATTTGTCGGTCCTGGCAAATGCCCTGTGAGCCGAACCCCACAACAACGAGTCCCGAAAATAGCATCCTCAAATCCTCATCTCCAAGCTGCTGCTAGTACTGCTGCTACTTCATAGTGCTACTGCAACGACCACGACGACCACCGCGACCACCACCGCCAGCGCCGCCGCTGCCACCACCACCGCCACCATCAGGAGGACTACCAGTGCTCTTGCTGCTACTATTACCGCTGCGGCTGGTAGTACTGGTACTACGACTGCTGCTAATGATGATGCTGCTGCATACTGCTACTCTTGCTCCCAGGGCCAGAGGCCAAAAGCCTAACACCTCAGGTTTCCACCTTTGGCAGCAGCTGCCGATTTCTCGGCAGAGGACGCCCGAGCCTGGAGTTCACGTCTGTTTGAGGCCTTTGGGGACCTAGACAGGGTTACGGCGCGTAATATGGGTTCACATGAAGGTGGGTTGGGGTGTATCGAGTATAGGGACAAGGCGACCGCATAGTGCTGCTGGGAGTTCACTCGTGGCCTTGGACTCTGGCGTTTCATTGGCGAACGCACATTAGTGCATTAGTGGAGTTGCTGTTCGGCTACAGCACGAACTAGGAGAACATTTTCAAACTAAAAAAGACTTTTTTAAAAAACAATGTTCTTGTATTCCTAGATGACCGCTGGTGTCTTGGTCACTTCAGTGCCCTCCTTTGCTTGCATGAGCATCCGATCGCAATCCTGGCCTACCTCTCCTTTAGCCCTTAAGAGTCTGTTTGACATTACTTTGCCTACAGTCATGGTCCTCTCTCAGAGTCAGAACGGTTGGTGATTCTGCTTTTCTGCAAACCCCTAACTTCGCCGAAGAGTGGGGTGTCCTACGCACCCATTACTACCCCATTACCAGTAAGCAGGATGCTGGCAATTCAGGCTTGCATGATTCTGCCGGTCGCGGGATCGCAGCCTTCTCTTGTACCTTGCGCTAAAGAAAATGAACCCACCCCTCCTTCCGTGTCACAAAGGCCGCGAAAGGGGGGAAATTCCCAGCCTCTGCCTCCGCCAGCTTGGTAGCGGCCTGATTGAGCAGCTTCGAAACCATACACAGATTACGGTACCAGGTGCAGTTCTGCGCAGGAAAATATTACGATGAGGTCCTCAGGAAAGGGGGAAACAGGCTGCCAGAGGCATGGACAGAGACTAGGTCCTCAGCAGGTCGAAAACATCCAGATTGGACCAGGCAGGGGATTCGTTGGTTTGCAGCAAGCTGCAGCTGAACTCTGAACATCCTTATGGCCTTCCTGTGCCTTTGGGCCACGTACACGGGACATCCTTGACTAAGTCTTGAAAAGCGAAGCCAAACTAAGCGAAAGTAAGCGTCCTTCACTTTTGTCGTGCTACGCCTCCTTGTGCTGGCTGGTAACCAGTGGGTTGCAGCCTGTGTCCCAACCATAGTGACCGTCACCATCACGATTGACGGATGCAACTTGAAAGCACTTAATAGGTCCTTCATAGATAATGGCGACGTAAGCTCAAGGCCCTGCAAAACAGACACAACAGCCAACCTGTTTCCCTCCGCCCAAAAACTCCCCAAACCCTACTGTACTCTGTCCACCGCTCCGGCCCCAAAGAAAACTGCCTGCGAGAGCTCGCGCTTTGTATCATCTAGCTTCTTGGTGGTGTCCTCAACCGACTTCTTGGCCTCCAGCACAGCTTTTGTGCTGCAATAGTGCGACGACTCCGGGTGCTTAGTTCTGTCCGACTGGCTCCATGCTCAACTATGTTCTCCTGCTTTTGCTTCGAGCCCGCAAGTGTCCCCGCACTGCGACGAGGGGATGACTTTCACCCAGCAGAAAGTGATGCACGGCCTGCGCGACTTCCTCCTTCTTTTTGACCAGCTCAGTTGTGTCCTGACAACAAGGCATACGCAAACGCTGTACAATTCGGATTCTGTCCTTCCAGACTGCAGCAAGCGACAAAGTGAAACAGTCAAATCAAGGTCGTGGGGCGCAGACTAGTCGGGCAACCCGGAAACTTGCCAGGCATGCTTGCCGATACGAGGTTCCGTATCCACAGAACTCCCTGCCCGTCGTGAGAACTCACTTAGCCTGGTACATGCCTAAATGTATGAGTGCCAATCAAATTGACAAGATGACTGCACTTTAGCAATAGCTGTGTACGACTACTATTACTAGTACTGTTGTACTATTACTAGTACTATTACTCTGTACTATTACTATTACTATTGCTATTGCTGTTACTTACTATTACTAAAGCTTGGCCAACCGTGTCCTTTTTGGCCTGCACCACGCGGACCTCCTTAACCTGGCAAAATGACGTGAGCTATCATCAACATAACCCAAATGCCTTAAAGGGGGTTATATGGGGGATTATATAGGGGAGTACTATAGGGGCTATGAAGGGGGATACTAGGAGTTTAGACTGTAACTCACATGTTCAAAGCAAGGGTCAAATGCTGTCCTGGGTGCTCGGTGGAGCTAGATACGCGATCATGAAAACATCCTCTTTCAGGTAAGGCTGAGTTGGAACACATCAAGAGTCTGCAGCAGATGCCTGTGCTTCTTGGAAAGTAAGCCTGACTCGTCCTGACTGATTGCGCACAACGCATATTACCAAGAAGTATCCACTTCAGCTAGAAACCTAAAAGGCATGGCGATTGGGTCGTGTCAAGATTCCGGGCAAGTGCCAACTCTTAAGGTTCCTCTGAAACATCCCCTACGCTAAACCACGGCAGCCTGCTGCCCCCAAGAAGCCCTTCCAAAGGCCTCGTGAATGCCTGGGCCCGTTCTAAGCTGACAAACAACTTGGAAGACCTC